TGGTCTTCCAGATCTTGCTTTAACTTCCACTGTTCCTGATGACTGCCATTTCTTAATTACATTCCGAACAGAGGATATTGACATCTGAAAACGCTTTGCTATCTTCTTATAGCCTTCTCCAGCTTTGTGAGCGTCAATTATTTTCAGTTTCAGTTTTCTAGACAACTGCTTAGAAGAACCCATGGTGCGGATTGTTGGGGCAAGGTCAGATGAGTCTGGGCATTTAAAACCTTTGAGATTGACATAACCTGGTTTTCCCAGACGATGATTGAGAACAATCCATGACACTGGCAGTTCTCAGCTTTGCAAAGGGGGCAGTGCATGCTATAAATTCTGCAGGGTGCCCAAACTTTTGCAGATGCCATTTTTTTTGTTTTCTGTTATTTTGAAAGTGTAAATGATGGAAATAAAATCTAACTTTTGTTGACATATTATAAGAATGTCTGATCTGTAATTTGATGCCTTTTGGAGATTTTTCCATCTTTCCTTGGCTTCTTTATGCACATTAATACAAATGTTTAGCTGGGGTGCCCAAACTTTCCATCCCCACTGTATATGTATGTATGTGTGTGTGTATATATATATATATATATATATATATATATATATGTGTATGTGTGTGTGTATATATATATATATATAATATATATGTATGTATGTGTGTGTATATATATATATATATATATATATATATGTGTGTATGTATGTATGTGATTTTGCACACCACTGCAGCAGTATATCTACTATAGGGTGGCAGGGGAAAGCAGTTAAAGCAGGAATAAACCCAAAACAAAAATGTAATATATAGCTCACAAATCCTTAACGAGTAACTCCACTTTTGTTGAGAAAAAAACATTTCCCTCTGGGTGATCTATGTACATTGCAAGGATTTTAACAAACTTGCCGAATCCTACCTTTTGTTATTCTGAAAAAATAGCTGTTTGTTTACGTCCATGTGCAAAATAAATGTGAATGGGAGTGATTTATAATTATCAATCAGCTGCTGCCTTTGCAGAGCTCTAATGAGGAAAGTGGCGGGGTCTGCATCCCTTTAGATAAGATTTCCTTTAGGGAGTATCTCACCAAAAATTAAATTTTTGTTGCAGAGGATGTCCAAAATCTGACTTGTATCTTAGCGCAGACTAAGCCATTCACACAAGCTGAAAATTACATTTCTGGGAGGCGTTCTGTACACCTAGTGTCATCTAGTTGACAGCCTAGTGAGCTATCGTTTACAGCCTATATCGGCGGCGTTATATATTTGTAGGGCTTTTGGTGCCATGTAATGCTCTTAGATTGTGAGCTCTAACGAGCAGGGCCCTCTGTTTCCTCTTGTACCAAGTTGTATTGTAGCTGTAATGTCTACCTTCATTTTGTAAAGTGCTGCGCAAACTGTTGCCGCTATATATATCCTGTTTAATAATAATAATGATCTCCTGGGTGCCACTGAAAATAATCTTGCATGCACCTGGATAATTCAGACTATGAATTTGATTTAAAAAAAATATAACTTCATAACCAATATTTTAAATCCACTATTTTTTTTTTTAAATATACAGTAGAAACGAACGTAGCCTCTGTTGGTATATTTTTCATCATGGTGCATTTAAAGGATAAGTTCACCTTTGGGAACATGTTACATGTTCCACCTGTTTTTTAGGGTGAAACATGTAACGTTCCCAATGTTGCAACGACTGCCTGATTTCCATTCAACCCCCCCGACAAGACAGCAGTATAAGCTGTCAATTTTTAAAACTGCAGCTCTGTCATTCATTCACAGAGTTCTGTGAATGAATGAACTACAAGTCCCAACAGCCTTAGTGGCTGTCGTCTTGGATCTTTTAATGTGGTTGTTAACCTCAGACATGAAATATGAACAAAGCATATCCCTCTATATAGTGTAGTTGTCTCACTTAAGAGCACTGGGTTTCATTTCTATCTGCTGCCTCATTCCTCTGCTATCAGCATGAGTCACTTTTGACAAGTTTTGCTGACACAAAGAGAAAAATGGTGACAGGGAAGGGAGTTCCAGCAGAGTGACAGCCTCAGCTCTGTTCCTGTGAGCTGTGTGAAGGGGGATGTGTCCCTTCCCTCCAATCAGCTCTCAGAGCTCTTGCCCTCTGCTTTCTGGAAGCTCAGACAAGCTTTGAACAAGTAGCACTTTGAACAGATGTAGAGAAAAGAAGGCTGCAGATACATAGGTACAACTCATGTAGGAAGATTTGTTTTTTCTCTGTGTATCACCTGAGGCCAGTCACTTCACTGGAGACGCAGACATGACACAAATGTTATAAATTGAGTTGCAGTTCAGAGAGTAAAATAAGTATTTTATCGCTAAGCAAAACATGACTTAGTACTTGGTGGAGAAACCCTTGTTGGCAAGCACAGAGGTAAGACATTTCTTGTAGTTGGTTACCAGGTTTGCACACATCTCAGGAGGGATTTTGGTCCACTCTTCTTTACAAATCTTCTCTAAATTCTTAAGGTTTCTTGGTTGTCGCTTGGCAACTCGAAATTTCAGCTCCCTCCATAAATTTTCTATAGGATTAAGGTCTGGAGACTGGCTAGGCCACTCCATGACCTTAATCTGCTTCTTCTTGAGCCACTCCTTTGTTGCTTTGGCGGTATCGTTTGGGTCATTATCATGCTGGAAGACCCATCCACAACTCATCTTCAGTGTTCTGGCTGAGAGAAGAAGGTTCTCATCCAAGATTTTACAATACATGGCCCCATCCATTGGCCCCTCAATGTGGCAAAGTCGTACTGTACCTTTAGCAGAGAATTGGCCCCAAAGCGTAATGTTTCCTCCTCTGTGGTGTGAGTAGGGTAGGGATGGCGGTGTTTCTTAGGGTCATAGTCAGCATTGTTTTTTCTTCATCCAAACATGTTTTGCGATTCGATGGCGCAAATTTAATGTCACACAAACCTCTAAAAATGGGCTGGACAAAAAGCTCAATTTTGGTCTCACTCTGAACACAGCACTTGCTTCCAATTGTGTGTCTGTCTGTCACTAAGCATGAACCATTTAGATGTTCAATTCAAGGTTACAAGTCCATCTCCAGAGAAAACTTTTCAGCAACATTATGGGCAACCCCTATACTAATGTGGCCGGATGAGGAAAATTGATTCAGAATAGTGATGGTGGAGGGAACCTACAGGATATCAATCCTTGGTGGAATATTGTTACCAATGGTTTGTACTTGTTTGGTGACTGTGGTCCCAACTGCCTTGAGATCATTCACAAGCTCCTCCCGTGTAGTTCTGGGCTGATCCCTTGCTTTTCTAATGATCACCCTTACCCCATGAAGTGAAATCTTGCATGGAGCTCCAGACCAATGGCAATTGATAATTTTCTTCCATTTGTAAATAATTGCTCCAACAATTGTCTCCGTCTCACCAAGCTTCTTACTGATGGTCTTGTAGTCCATTCCAGCCTTGTGCAGGTCTACAATCTTGTCCCTGATGTCCTTTGAAAGCTCTTTGGCCAAGAAAGAAATTCTGTGGACAGGTGTCTTTTTATACACATGACGAGTTGTCGTTAGGATCACCTTCTTATGCAGGCCATAGATGGGTCGAAAATCGGCCGATTTTTCGGCCAACAATTTCGGCCATGAAAATAAAATCGGCCATGTGATTTTCGGATCGTTAGTGGGCTATTTGTTCGGCCGTTTTTCGGTATTTCGGCAGATTTTTTTTATCGGTAAAGTTGCTCCAAAAAAAAATCGGCTGATTTTGCCGATCGGCCGATTTTCGCGGCAATGATGGGCAAATCGGCCGACCTTTTTTTTACCGATAAAAAAAATCTGCGCATGAGCAGTGACCTGCAAGAGGAAGACAAGAAGAAAGAGGATGAAGAAGAAGAGGATGAAGAAGAAGAGGATGAAGAAGAAGAAGAAGAGTTTGAAGAGAAGAGGATGAAGAAGAAGAGGATGAAGAAGGAGAAGAAGAGGATGATGATGAAGAAGAAGAAGAGGATGAAGAAGAAAGAAGAAGAGGATGAAGAAGAGGATGAAGAAGAATAAGAGTTTGAAGAAGAGGATGAAGAAGAAGAAGAGGATGAAGAAGAGGATGAAGAAGAGGATGAAGAAGAAGAAGAAGAAGAGGAAGAAGAAGAAGAGGATGAAAAATAAGAGGAATTTCAGTCCAGGAAAAAGTGTCCCTGCAGAGAGCTCCGCTATTTCTTTGACAGTTCCTTGACATTTATAGCGGTTGCAACAATGTATCTATTTGTTTCCGAATAAAAACATCTGTATCCTAAATTGATACAAATAGATGCATTGTTGCAACCGCTATAAATGTCAAGGAACTGTCAAAGAAATAGCGGAGCTCTCTGCAGGGACACTTTTTGCCAGCTGTAGACGGGATGAAAATCGGCCGGTTTTTTTTTTTTTTTTTTTTTTTTTTTTTTTTTTTTAACCATTGCTGGTAACGTCGGCCGCTTGAATGACCGATTGTTCGTTTTTTTTTAAGGAAAAATCGGCCGTTTTTCTCCCCGTCTATGGCCTGCATTAAATGGACAGGACCAATCTGTGTACCACATAACCAGTCTGTGGGAGATAGAATTATTGTTGGTTGGTAGGGGATCAAATACTTATTTTACTCACTGAACTGCAACTCAGTTTATAACATTTGTATCGTGTTTTTTCCTTGATTTTTGGTTAACATTCTGTCTCTATTATTTAAAATGCACCTGTGATAAAATTAGAGCCTTCGTTTCTTTGTAAGTGGGCAAACTTACAAAATCCACTTTATTTTCGCCGGGTTAATGACAGGTTTACTTTAAAACTACACATTTTCTACATTTGGCTTATTCTATGTTGTGCCAGACTTGTCTTTTAAAGTGGAAAACTGCAAAAGATATTTGTACTTTTACCAGTTTTGTAGGATTTATGACTAGTTTGCCTGGGAAAAGTTTACAACAGTGTAAAAGCTTTTTTAACTTGGATGTAATTTATTTATTCTCATTCTGACTCTTAACTGCAGTTGTCTTTTTAATGCACAGATCTCTTTAAAAATGCTAAGAGGCTCTTTCAAAAGCGTGCCTCATTCGGAGCCTGAATTCAAACCATTAGTTGTGATAGAGCTTGCAAAGAATGCCAAACCAGAAGCAAGAGAATGGCTTGTATCAAAAATCTCAGCCCACAGAAAGGATGGAGGTATGTACTTTAATTATCAGCAACATTATGAAGAAATGTAAAAGCCTGCATTCACGCTTGAACAGAGCATATTCCTGGTGATCTCTAAGCTTTTTTCAGGCTTATTACAGGTGTTTGTGCAATTTGTATCAAGATTCAGCTATTTGCTTACCAGGCTGGGCAAGGGGAGGTGAGCAGTTGTATAAGAAATGCTCTCCCATTGAAATCTATGAGGTCAAAAATACATGTATATGAAAAAAAAAAAAAGGTAGAGTACTCTTTTGAGTGTAGGGCACTTGGCATACAAGTGTGAACAGGGACAATTAGAAAGAATAGGATACTACATGTGTGTAGGGAAATGAGCAGAAAAATGTGCATTTGCAAATTGTGCATAAAGGCTTTGTAGGTGTGCGGAAGGCAGATATACCAAGACTTTACAGATTTTGTTTACATGTTTTTACAACTTAACATGTTTTGGGAATTATACCCCATTACTGGTTGAAATCAGCATCAACAAAAAGCCAGTTTGTTGTAAAAGAAATAAAACATTTTGAAGGAGCCTAATTTTAAAATGGCCGATGATACAACTTCCTCCCCTATCTTATTCTTTTTGTTTTGATGAAACAAATCCCTAACTGAAGACTTTAAATTATGTTAGCCTTTAAAGTGCTTAAAGTTCATGCCAAATGGAAAAACTATCCGCAATCAACACTTCCTCCTATCACAAATTCAATCTCCAGTGGACCTGATGGCTAAACCACCCTAAATGTAATATACAACCTTGATGACATCTCAGGAAATGAACTCACACCCTGCACTAAGACTGGTATCTACTCAATTCCCCAGTTTATATTCCTCCCTCCCCACCCCCCCCCCGCCCCCCACCCTCCACCCACCCCCCCCCCAATCCCCCTAACTCCTCACCAAGGCCCTTCAAAGGCACACGAATACCTCTGATGATATTGCTAAACAAGACTAATACCCCATCTGTCCAGAGGGCAGATCTACAACAAACTGATCAACCATATTTGTCTACTGTAATGTTGTATGATTTAACCTTATCTCTTTTCCCTGTTCTTCCATGTTTATCCTTGAAAACTAAATAAAAATATTGAAACATAAAGTGCTCAAAGTTCACCTCCATGGAATTGTCACCCCCCACCCTGTCTAACCCAATGGCCGGAGCTGTTTAATCCAACTCTGCAAATGTGCCTTTTAGGCCAGTCCCCTACAGCCCCCGTGATGCAACCACTGAAGACTCCTGTACATACATTAATACATGCATATCCCCACAGTAAGGTTTATGTCATCAAGTGAAAGCTCTTGTGGTTATCTTAGACACTAGCCTGTATACAGTTGTGCTCAAAAGTTTACATACCCTGGCAGAAATTGTGAAATTTTGGCATTGATATTGAAAATATGACTGATCATGCCAAAAAATGCTCTTTTATTGAAGGATGATGATCATATTTATTTATTTCAGGTACTTATATAGCGTCGTCAATTTACACAGCGCTTTACATATATATTGTACATTCACATCAGTCCCTAACCCTCAAGGGGTGTACAATCTAAGGTCCCTTACTCACATTCATAGATACACATACTGGGGCCAATTTAGACAGGATCCAATTAACCTACCAGCATGTCTTTGGAGTGTGGGAGGAAACCGGAGTACCTGGAGGAAACCACGCAGGCATAGGGAGAACATGCAAACTCCAGGCAGGTGGTGCCATGGTTGGGATTCGAACCGATGACCCTAGTACTGCCAGGCGGAAGTGCTAACCATTTAGCCACTGTGCTGCCCATATGAAGCCATTTATTATCAAATAGTTGTTGGCTCCTTTTTAAATCATAATAACAGAAATCACCCAAATGGCCATGATCAAAACTTTACATATCCTGGAATGTTTGTCCTTGGTACAGACACACAAGGTGACACACACGGGTTAAAATGCCAATTAGAGGTTATGTGTACGCATCTGTAAATAATAATAATAAGTGTGTTCAGGTACACTGAAATCCATGGTCTACATTTACGTCAGTAAAAAAAACAAAAAACAAAACCCTGTATGACAAAAAATGCTTTGTTTCAGGCAGCAGTGTGCAAGAAAAAAGAACAATGTGAACAGAGAATTCACAAGAAAAAAGCGGTTAGATAAAGGACAATGCGATACTCAAACAAATCAAAATATGCTTTTATTAGCCAAATAGCATGTGATACAATTGAGTAAAGACTGCTGGTAGCCATCACCTCTATATAAGACAATACAAAAAACAACATAAAACCAAAAAAAAAAGAGAGACATCGTGGCTAGGCCATATGATGTAATCTGCTGTAGATACAATGACTCAAGGGTCTTTTGCTCATACAGCAAAGCACATCGGGGTGTGGAAAGAAGAATAATGCAACCGAATGCCTGTGCTCCTGTGCTGGACAGTGGACTCCACAATGTCAATATCCTAACATGAGTAGGAAAGAAATGCAAGCCTTGCTGCCCTCAACGGACCAGGGAAATCCAAAGAGAACTGTATATAGGAAACAAAAAGGGCGCACAGGCCTAGTGCATTACCCTAAAAATGAGATTTATTTATATATTGTAAAATACTCATGAGAAATAAAATCAGATTAAAATGAAAAACATGTCGCAAGGGATGCAAAGTGTTCCAGGAACCCCTGAAGGTGGTCTGGTGGGGGACTTTGAACCCCTGGATAGCTGGTGGCTGACACGTTTCAAGGTTGTACCTCTTCTTCAGAGCCAGTGGCAGGAGTGTTCGGTTTGCTGGCGGCTTTGTTGCTGATTGCGGCGGCCTGTAGAACATTTTTGTCTGGTGGCTTATTTGAGCCATCTAAGGTGGATGCGGTTTTGCTCTGGCTATTCCAGGTGAAGTACATTTGAAGGAGCTGATCCTGTGTGCTGAGAGGGTCCGAACTGTGAGGTCTGGAGTGCCTTTCCTGTGTGCAGTGTGTACCAGTGGATCCCCCTATCCCTGCCAGTGCCCTGATGACCACCATCATTTCTATACATGCGCAATTAAATTGTGCTTCCGGTGAGTGCAAGCGTACTTCATTTCCTATCACGGAAGTCACGAGCACCATTATCTGATGTGTTTCATCTGTGGACTGCTTGTATCTCAATAAATTTGAGTTGCCTTATTATTAGCTTGGATTTATTACTATCATTTGTCTTCTACCTCAGTACCTCCAGACCATTTGTCATCTCACGAGTATATGATTTATCATTGTGTTTATCATCCATTCACTATTTCTCTCATCATATACTGACGACACTTTTAATCACAATATCTAGCGCTTTTATGCGCTTCATTTTGCCACTTTGTCACTTTATTGACATATTGTATTTCTTAGTGCTGCATTTTATATTATTTATTTACTTGAGGATCAAGGGGTTCATCCTTATGCAAGCTGCTGATACACACAGAGCGCTCGCTTACTGTTGATTTTAGAGTGTGCAAGAGGCCTTAAGGGCAGGTTCACACCATAGAAACGCAGTCCAGATGCATTCCGGATGCGTTTCAGCATGCACATTTTTTGACACTTTTTTATGCATTCCAGTTCATTTTTTCCCCTCTGTTTTTCTTCAATCTAAACAGGGGCATTTTGGTGCGTTCCGGTGACTTTTGGATGCGTTTTACCATAGTGCAGTTCTGTGCAGAAAAAATGCAGCATGTTCTACTTTTTTTTTTCTGCAACCGCAATGCACTGGAACTGCAAGCCCTGATGGTGAACTATGACATTGACAACCATATAACCTACTTTCTGTGCGTTTTGGGTGCAGAAAAAAAAAAGCAACTGAAACGCATGTAGTGTGAACTGGGCCTAAAGGTTGGAGCTTGTTTAGGTCTGTGTAATGCACACCCAGCACTCTTGTTGCATCTGGCAGTCATTTCTACCTCTTCTGCACAAGGCCCCCATTCATTGACAGACATACTGTGATTTTAGTGGCATTATTCCGTATTGATCTATGAAGCTCAGCACAGATCTGCATAGAGCGTATCTAAGAAAATCGCACCAAACGCTTCCTCTAGGCACTGGTGCATACAAAGCCTTACTTTGTTACATGTAGTGTATTTCCAATGGCTATGTTTGCCAACAAGAACAACCGTCTGAGTTGGCCTTTCTGTTCAGATTCTGTACAGCAGAAAAGGTTGTGTCTAGGGTGTTGGCCTTTTGGTGAAGATAATTATAGCATACAAGGAATCTAAAGCTGTTCAACAGGCTCTGTCTGGGAGGTGTAGGGGAATGTCCAGATTACATTTTATGCTGCTGATACAGATGAGGTCTGTAGATCAGCTTTGGTGATATCTCTGATATCGTTCACTATTCATTTCTCACTGTAAAGCTGTATAAACACTATATAAATTTCAAACTCAGGCTTCATGCACACAGGATCTTTTCCTATCTCTCCTAGAAGCCTTTTCTCCTGGTAGCAGCGTTTTGGCAGAAAAAACGCCTGACGCATATAAAAGTGTGTACCGTGTTTAGGTGTGGCAAGCGTTTAGGCTTTAATTAATTTCATTGGCCAGAATAAATAATTTATGTACCATTTATCCCCTCCAGAGGCCATTTTTTGCGTTACTTTAACGGACAGTTGCGCGGTCATGCAACGGAAAACTGAAATGTCAATGGAGAACCACCTGCGCTACACTGAATACGCTATTATTCTAGGAATGGGTTGCTGCTGACACCTGGCTATACACCTGGATAGAATGGGATCAAAATGATAACAAAATTGGTGCTGCACTTCTACACTTGTACTTATATAAATAATTAAAACAAATACTCTAAATCAGTGGTTCTCAACCTTCCTAATGCCGCGACCCTTTCATACAGTTCCTCATGTTGTGGTGACCCCCCCAACCATAAAATTATGTACCCAGTAATTATAAGTCATGAAGTGTTGTTTTACCTCCAATACTGCTGCTTTCAATACAGTAGCTGCTTTTAACAGAGTAGCTGCTTTTAACAGAGTAGCTGCTTTTAACAGAGTAGCTGCTTT